TTTTCTTCAATTTTTCCTCACAGTATTTTTACTTGATGGGCATGCTGGAGATCGCTGCGAAGGTGAAAAAGCAACTTTACCGAAAAGGTGTGCACCTCTTTGTGCTAAATATAGCTGAAAAACCCAGTAAATTGTGAATGTGTAGCATGATAGAAAACTTAGCCAAACGTGAGTGTAATGCATATCGAGCTTAAGCTTGCATTAATTCACATTATGTTGATTTGGTGCTGCAGTGGATGTTAGATGCTTACATAGACACTCAACGCCCTCCTCCTTGCCTTATGCAATCAATCTCGCATCTATTGCTGAAACTCCTCAACGTATCGATAATGAAAGGGGCCTCAGGATGACCTCGTCAGAGTCGACGAATTCTGACAGTCCGAGTTCAGTATCCGAAATCGAACTTGCAACCCCTCTCAAAGAGAATGCAAATGGCAGTGCTGGTCACTCTTCCAAGGAAGGAGGGTTTTGTAGATTTAGTGACAACTCTAATCAAACGACGCTCGTGGATCCCATGACTAAAGGCCTCACCTTTTGTGAGTGGGTATCGAACCAAAGAAACAACAACAAAAAGTGGAAAAAAGAAGGAGCGGTAATCGAAAAGCCAATGTGTTTATCGCATATTGGGATGTAAGTTATGCGCATTTTACATAGGAACAGTAGAATATGCATAACATGCAATTAACTTCATACTATTGGCCATTATTGTTCATTGTTAACAAACATGTTGTCTTTTGAAAGTTGTTTTTGTATTTTGCAATAGAAGGCACACGCACACGCTTGATTTTACTGATTTTATCAACGCGTGTCATCTCCTCCAGAAGTCGCTTGAGAGTCCCAAATCCGTCTCGTCATCTCAAATGGTAAAGATTACAGTTTCAGAGTGCTCCTTTTTTCGAAGTACCTGAAATTCGCTAAGTCATTTGTCTTAGATGAATGCTATGCCTATTTTGCGTGATTACTGGTTCGACAACGCTACGTCATCTACCGTCACAGTTGAGGCTTTGGACGACCTTCTCTCAGCGATTGCACTGTTCTCACCTTCAGTTGTTGGTCGAATCGTGAACCAACGGGATAAAGAGGTGGAGTTGTAACTTATTAATGCATTGAGTTCTGCCATTAATAAGTGAACAGTTAAAGCCTTATGCTATGTGATGAAGTGAAGTTAAATTTGAGTTCTTTTATACAAACGAGACAGTCAGAAAGCTGTTTTCTGAAAAGAATGCCAAATCATATCAGTACAAGACATAACTTCTGCTCGAAATGAACTTTAAAATCTAAGTTGATATCCTTTTGGTCGTTTTTTTAACAATTCTTAC